TCCTTCCCATGAGCACATTAGATTTGACCAGTTTTAAGCCTAAAAGTTGTAAGTTGGGTAGTAAACTTCAGCTCGTCATTTTAGGATGCATGACATTATCAGAACGTCAACTTGGCAAGATAAATTCAGTTTATTGTTATTATAGTGAGACTAGATAATCAAAATAAGACTCAAACTTCAGTACCAGAAGGCAACAGATGGTTAAAAAGCTACTTTTATGAGGAATTACAGGCAACCCTGAAGAGAATGGTGAATCACAAAGCCTCTGCTAAGGTAGAGGTAGATTGTAGAGGAATGAAAAGACCAAAGTCTGAGCCCAAAACTCCTCATAATGCTCAAAGGGAAACCCAAAGAGACAGAACCCAAAGAAACAGAAGGTTTACAGAGGACTAGAGCACCTGTCAAGGATGCATATCAAAGATTAGCAAAACGCCTCCAGTGATAAACAAATAAATTAATTTTTCCAACGACAATAAAAAAACACAAGGAACGAGCAAAGATGCTCCTGAAACAATTCAACACAACAGCAGAATGGAAGGTGGAGGCAGACAATGACATGGCTGGAAGAGTGTAAAGGAAAATCTTTGAAGAACAAACTGAAGGTCCCACAGTTAAAGCTGTAGGAGAATGACAGGGTTCAGATGTTGTGAGACAGATCCAGGCTGACAAACATGTGATGGCTGACCAATCACACTTTTTTTTTTCTTTTGGCTGCTCCCTTCGTCAGGGATCGCACAGCAAACTAAGTTGCACAATAACTTGGCAAATATTTTTACACCGGATGCCCTTCCTGATGCAACCACAGACCACCAAGTTACCACAGCCCTCTGTGTGGAGCAGATAGCTGCTATCTAGTGTACCAGGGGGAGCAAATGGTGTGGGTTAAGGGCCTTGCTCAAGGTCCCAGAGTGGGGCAAATGAGGGTGGAGGCAGGTGTGGGTGCTTCACCTATCCCACCCACATTTTGATGTTGTCGGTAGCAGGACTTGAACAAGCTGATCTTCTCTAACCTCTGCACCACCCCTCCAACCACTGTTGTGGTCAGTAAAGTAGAGAGCAGCCATGACAGGAACATCAAGCAGAAGGAATGTGAAAATGCTGAAAGAGGAAACAGAGAAACTGTGGAAAGTGGAGGTCTCAGGAGGTTCCAGCAGCTTGTTTTACAACATCAGATCATTGCTAGGTGTTAGTCTCCATTCATTCATTCATTCATTCATTCATTCATTCATTCATTCATTCATTCATTCATTCATTCATTCATTCATTCATTCATTCATTCATTCATCCATCCTTCAGTCACTCAAGCAAAATCAGAGGAAGCATGTCCAAAAGGGAAACCCAGACATACTTTACTGAAGCAACACTTTCCAGCTCCTCCTGAGGGGATCCTGAGGTCTTCTCAGCCCAGGAGAGATAAACCTACCATCCCGGATCCAACAGGTTCTGGGTCTTTCCTGATATTTATTTATTTTATTGCAAAAGGATGCATCCAAAACACCCTCAGTGACATAAAACCAGGAGGTATACTCATCTATGTCTAATTTAAAATTAGTAATATACATTAATGGGCATGCTAAGCAGATGCCCAAACTTCTTCGGTTGACTTTTTTTGAGACGGGTGTGCAGTGGCTCTACTCGCAACTCCTCACTCTGTCTAAGGCTGAGACTGACTACTCCATGGAGAAAACTCATTCTAGATGCATTTGATCATACTCCATATGTCATGAACATAAGTGAGGGTTGGAATATAGATGGACCAGTAAATTGAGATATTTGCCTTACAGCTTAGTTTCTTTTTCACCACAACAAACCAGAACATAACATTGTTTACTGCAGACCAGGCCCTGATCCACCAGTCAAGCTCCCAGTCCATCCAGTGATCACTCGTGAACAAGACTCCAAGATTATTAAACTCATTTGGTTGAGCTAAAGCCTCATCTCAAATCTCTGTGAACCTGTAAATCAAATATTTATTGAATAAATTAATCAAAAACTTTTGTATAGATTAGTTTAATCCATGTACAATATGTACATTTAAGAAAAAAGGGAAAAAAGAAGAAAAAAGAAAAAATCACTAATGCCACATTAAGTGATGATTTTTGATTTATCTCATGCTGATGATTATCTCAGGTATGAATGAATACAGCCTATCTGCTCACCAAAGACTCGTGTTCAGGCTGCTATTGCTATGTCATATTGTTTTACATTATTAGTGTTTAGCGTATATCTTAAATCCTTTAGCATTCTGTTTGGCATTTTTCTAACATATATCTTAGCGTACATCTTAGATCATTATTTTACCGTTTCTTTTACTACTTTATATTTTGCTATTTTGAGGTGTAACTGGGACCCTGCTTACATAATTTCATTCCACCTCACGTAACACTTGTGGTGGAAACAACAATAAAGTTGACTTGAACTTTTCACCACTTGCTCTTGTGCAAGATGGATGACTTTCTTCCCTCTCCTGTCCTCCTCCTGCTTTTTTGCTCTCTGTCTTGTGTATCGGAGCTCCTATTTACACATCTTCCGAAACATAAACTGCTGTCATGGATCTGGTCAGCTAGACTTTCAATGCAATTGATACATTTTTTTTCAACAAAATGACAGTGTCCTGAAGAACCCTCATGCCCCGCTGAGACGCTTGCAGCAGGACACGTCATGGATCTAATGTGCTTTTTTGTATCATCTCAGGAGGGTGCCGAAAATATTGGAATCATGATAGCAGGGTTTCTGCTTTTTGGCACCTGCGGATACCTATGTTATTAGCTATTAAAGAAGATGGCATCAGCAGTTTCGGTCAAGGCAAAGCTGCCGACTGTCTGCAGGTTTGGTTTGTGCTTTGAGCACTCAAAATCAGCTGCTTTATGAGCTAAACCATAAGACGAAAGTAATTTGTGAGAATCGCAGGCCACTTGCAGCTTTTGGGACTCGCAGCATGTTGGGTACAACTTTTAGAGGGATCCAAGCACGGACCAGTGGAATGCCCACAAATCTGGCCATTTTGAAGGTTGACAAGAAATTACAGTCTTCCTGAAAAAAATTAACAACTGTGGCTTATCTGAATTTGACTCCCCCGTTTGAAGCAGGCCAACTCATCAAATTTCTCCTGAGATTTGTGTAAACTGAGAAAGCTGTCTTTTGCAGATGTTTCTGCTCTTGAAGCGTGATGTCTCATACTTTCACCATAGTGAACACTTTCAATACGGTGGAAGTTTTTGCTGCTCACTGAAATGAACGTGAAGCAAACCTGAAGCACATTGAGTGGAAGAGTCAGTTTCAATGCGCCGTCTCAGACATTGGTTAGCAATGATGCAGCATCATGTCAACAGAGACAGCTGTCTATTTTATAGAAGCCCAAACACATTGACTCCACTTATTAACACTTTCAGCAAAGGATCTTAAAGACTTTATATATACTTAGCATAAAATAAAATAAAAATATTCCACAACCTATCTCCAGGGAACTGTCACCACAAACCCAAAGCTATATGGTTAAATTCAGTTAAAGATGCATTCAAATGCATTGTGAAGGATCAAAGCTTTATCACTCAACAGTTGTACACAACATTAAATATCCTGCCAAAAAAAAAAAAAGCCAGGGAGCCCAATGGACCACTGGAGACAAATAAAACTCTTGTTGCGTTAAGCAAATGAATCTAAAACATAAAAAGTGCAACTGAATTAGATATGAGATTTTAGTTTTTCTTCTACGTCTGATATTGCTTTCAGAGTGAGCTGTAAAGAGAAGATGATGACCTCTGGTGGTGATATCTGACTAGTATTAACATCATCGTCATCAATTAGAATGAAAAACAGCTCCCTATGAGATGCTCAAGAGGATTTTTAAACTCTGAGGAGGATTTGTCTTTGCCTAAGTGCAGGACTGTGTATGTGCCTTATTATTATGTGAGGAGTTCTGTGAAGAAACATGCTTGTCAGAGTCAGAGAGCGGCAGCATCATCTCAGTTCATGGCTCCTCTCCTCCAACATGACGCAAAAACATCAAAAAGCACAGAAGAATGGGTAAAAAGAGAACTGACGCTGAATCTAAATAACCTGGACTGTGTGAACATCCAAGAACTGAAAAATCACATTGAAGAACGGAACTTCATCAAACTTGAAGACACGGAGCAGTTCGCTCGAGAGGTTCAAAAAGTGCTTAATTTATTTGATTAAAGGAGCTAAAGGGCGTGGCTTGTCAATTTTTAAATGTCAGACCCATTCAGTTTCCAACTGTCCCAACATAAATGCTGTAAAGAGCAAATCCAAACCTTGAACTAGTTTGAAACAAAAGAAAGGATGAAGAATGACAAGTAGTTTAAAGATCCTAAAGCTTCATGGCTCTGTTTATTGGAATCGTCCTGATGATTTTGAAAAAGCTGCTGCATGCAACATTTGGAGTTGTGGTTGCTATAAACAGCTTCATATTTGAACAGATGTTGGGTTGGATCGTTTCTCTTTGCCGTGTAATGCTGAAGCCCGAGCGTGAAGGTAACTTTGCTTTCAAGCAGCTCAAGTGATGAAACTCTTATTCAGACCTGTGCAACAGCCAGCAGCTTTGATGGTCCATATAAGAAATTGAAACTGCATTTCATCCCTGGAGAAAGTTGTGGATTATATGGCTGGCTTCTTGCTGTAATTACTGTGTTGGAGCTGATTACCAATAAACCAAAACAACCCCCAAAAATCTCAGAAAATCGCTTTTTCTGCAGAAAATGATTGAGATAATTGAATGACTAGTTGAAGAATGAATTGTTAACGAAATTGTTCCAGTTAAAGCAAACAGAAATTAAGCTAAATCAGTAAAACAGAACAAAAAGACAAAAATAGAGCAAATATGCCTATTTCAAAAAAGAGAATGAAGATATCTGAATTTATTTTTGTGGGTTAAGTATTTGTAAAAACTGTTAATTCACATACAAGTTGCAGCACATTAGCATTAAAACAGAGCAACACCTTCATTACGTCAGGCATGTGGATGCAACAGTTTGACTCACGGTCGTTGCACTGCGTCCCCGTGTAGGAGGTCATGGAGCAGTCGCAGGTGTAGTTTTCCCACTGCTGGATGCAGATCCCCATGTTGGCACAAGAGTCCTCCTGACAGGTGGTGCTGGGACCTGGAGTCCAAAGATGCCCCCCACAAACAAAACAAAACAAAAAAACCCACGGCAAACAAACACAAACACAAACACACAGAGACACATGTAACACTGGGTTTAACAAGAATGGATAAAGAAGAGTCAGTTCTCCAGTTTGAAATGTGAGATGGCCTTCTTGTTGGTGTGGAGCTCTGATGAACTGCTTAATTGTTCACGGGGATTGTGATGGGGGCTACAGCGCAATGATTCAATTTAAAATATGGTGTCAAAGTTACATTTTTTCTAATAAACCTGTAGCTCTGAAATATCTGTATATGAATGTTCTGTTGAGGACCTGCAGGCCAACAGTCGACGGGGAGAGCATGATGAACCAAGAACAGCTACAGTTTATTTGTTTCGACTTTTACACAAATTTCAAGTTTTGCACATTCATGTGTTTGAAGAATCTGTTAAAGACAGAATTTTGTCTTTTAAATTGTTATTTTCTTATTATCTGGGTGTCCAAAAACATATGTAAAAAGTCTTCAGTTGGTCCAAAATACTGCTGCCAGAGTTTTAGGTCGTTTTCACACCAGATAGTCCGGTAGACTCGGTTCGGTTCGGGACCAATATTCATAACCTGTTGTTTACATTCGAGCTGGTGCGTTTGCATTCACACTGCACTGTGCAGTCGAGACAACCTGTTGAACCAACCTATTCCCCTACTCGCCTATGGGGGGCGCTGCACCAAGAACTACTGAAAGAAACTACACAAAACCTCTGAAGACACGTCTTCTTCTTCTGTAAATAAAAATAAAAACGAAGTGGCATCAAGTTTTAGGAGTTATATTTTGTCATTTTTCAAAAATGGACTTAGCATGAGCAGAAGATGAGACAGAAGACCATGGAGAATATTGTTTTTCACACAAGGCAGCTGACGGCTCCATATAAGCTCAGAGAAATGCGTGTTTGTTTACCCTACGGAGCAGGACACGGTCTGTTTACATTCACACTGTACTCGAACCGCGCTGGAGTTCACTTCTACCAGACCGAGACCTAGGATTTAGCCCGGGCCAGAGTTCGCCTTTTTGTTCCGTGACAGAGTTCGATGGTGCGTTCACACCTCCCCAAACGAACTAGACTTTCTAGGAAAACGAGCTAGAGTTCAATTAAAGCGGACTAAACAGGGCTGGTGTGAATGCACCCTTAATGAGAGTTGATAGAGATCATATCTCTCCAGTTTTAGCTTCTCTCCACTGGCTCCCTGTCAAAGTCAGAATTGAATTCAAAATCTTACTTTTAACCTACAAAGCCCTCTACAACCTAGCTCCATCTTATATTACAGATCTTACTGCTCCATATTTTCTTAACAGAGCATTTCGTTCTCAGACTGCAGGCTAACTTGTGGTTCCTAGGGTTTCCAAAACGAGAACAGGAGGCAGAACTTTCCGTTATCAGGCTCCTCTCTTGTGGAAACAACTTCCAGTTTTTGTCTGTGAGACTGACACATTGTCCAGTTTTAAGGTTTGGCTCAAGTCTTTTCTTTTTTATAAATCCTATAGTTAGGGTCAGTTTAGGCTTCCTGAGCTATCCCTTAGTTATGCTGCTATAGGCTTAGACTGCTGGAGGACAAACTGACCACATATCCTCACACTGCTGCTGTCCTTACTTGCTCTACTTGTTTGCATTTACTTCTATTTTAACATTTTTTTTGTCTTTCCTCCTATAGAAAGCACCTGTCATTCTGTGTCTGTTTCTACTTTCTGTTCCTCTCAAATCCTAGCCAGTCAAAGCAGATGGAGGCTCATCCTGAGCCTGGTTCTGCTGGAGGTTTCTTCCTGTTATGAGGGAGTTTTTCCTTTCCACTGTTGCCTTTGTGCTTGCTCAGAATGGGAGACTGCGACCAAGTGAGGATTCAACACAATCTGCTGCTTCCTTAGATAGATAACTTTTACCAATTCTTTTTTAATGTACATGAATTATTTGTTCAGTGCCCTGAGACAACTGTTGTTGCGACTTGGCGCTTTATAAATAAACAGAATTTAACTGAATTGGAAATGTGTTGAAGGAGGTTCAAGACCTCATGATGAACTGCATTCAGTCTGTTTCAGTAAAATTAACCTGTTCTATCTGCTGAAAAAACAAACAGGGAATGTAATGTAAAAGTACAAAACTATTTTACTGGTTGCAGTGGTATATTTTTTGTATTTACTTATATTTGTAACTATTTTAAGTCAGTCAATTTATGATGATCAAAATGCTTAACTGTATCTGATGAGGGCTCACAAACTGGGTCTTCAAACTAAACTAAAGCCAGCTGAACACGGCAAACTCTCCATTGCTGCAGCTGTCTGTGCAGCTACCTGCTCTTCTGATGCTACTTCCTGTGTCAGCTTGTTTGCAGTTGGGTCAGTAATCAGTTCGCACTGCCCAACTGTGTCCAGATTTGACTCCAGAATTTCAAAACTATTTGACTGACTGTGACTGAGGGTGGTGTGGGTCTGTGCCTCTTTCACAAGAACAGGTTAGTGTGCAAACTGGAGATGCTGACTGTCCCAAACTAATGCAGACTGGTACAGAATTTGCCCGACTGGGACCTGAATTTTACAAGAAATTGCTCAACTTTTGTATCTCTAAGCAGTGACGTTTTGTACCTCAACACTTTAGTGATGTAAATTGCAGAAGTTATATTAAACGAGTATATTTTAAATACTGAATCCAAAGAACGTGTACATCAACACTATGGCCTTTGACCCTTTTGTGAGAAATTGACATGCCACTGCGATCAGTATGGACTTGGAAAACCATTGAAAAACTATCATCAGCAATACAGAAATATAACTTGAATCCGTTTTAGACAAAAAGAAAGCCAAATCTGAGAAAGCTGTTCAAATTCTGCATGATCGAGATAAATAAGACAAATAATCATTTTAAGATCCTTATTGGGAAAGTATTTTATATTAATGCAGCAGAAAACCAATTTAACAAATATTTAAAAAAAAGAAGTTTGCAGAATGTATAAAAGCATCCTCTACAAATGATTATTTGTAGAACATTATCCAAAAGTCAAAATCAGCAGTGTTTATTTATACTGTCAATACAAAATGAAAAGGACTGCATAATATGACAAATATGGATTTTTTTTGCGTTAGTTTTGTTTAAATTTGTAATGCATACATTATTTAATTTTAGTCAAGTTTTAGGAAGATTCTACAAAACTTGAACATTTTGGAAAAACATCCGTCAGTCTTTAACATCACCTAAAGCTTATGAATGTGCAGAGACTTACCTGATATCTTCATAATGTCCGCTAAAGAAGACATTGTTTGAGAACATATGAGCTGATGAGTTCAAGGACCAGAGGAAGCTAAAAAATGAGGAACTTCGTCCTTTGCATTTCTTTTATTTTTGGTTTCTGACCCACTGATCTGGTTTTGAATTTAATGCAAGATGTTCTGTGTTTGCCAGCTGAGCTGCACCACCATCTAGCGGTGATACAAAGTACTACATATTGACTTTGAGATGTCTTAACTGACTTAAAAATAAAACATTCAGTTTCATGTGATGAAGGCTTGAAATGACAAACAAGTTTAAACACTATAAATGCAAATCATGATGCACTGTCAAGCTTGGAAATGATAAAAGCACACATATAAAATGAGCCATTTAAATGCAATGGACAACCAGCAGTGATTGATGAGATTTTATTTGGAAAAATAAAGCGATCAACCATCACATTCTCACAGTGAATACAGTACAATGAGTCACATCATTCCTGACCCCACTGAGATTGTCACACAGAACAGTTCACAGATATTTGCTTTGATTAGAATGAACCAAACGCATTCATTGATCGTACACGAGCTCTGAGTTCATATAAAAACAGCATACAGTATTCTCAACTGATGGCAGGCGTAAGAACAAAATGATTTCCATGCAAACAAGAAGAGACTGTAGAAAACGGCCCAGGAGATGACAAAACACAACCAAAAAAAAAAAAAAAAAAAAAGCACAAAAAAAGGAAACATTTTGTCCGCAGTGACTTTTTCTTGCTCCTTCAAAATGTTTCACCAGCTCATTTTGATGCAGCAACGTTACAGAAACGACACGGACATTTAGAAAGCAACACAAGGCGTTTGGCAAGTTTTGAGAGAAATCGGCGTGGACGGGAGTCCAGGTATGGCCTGATGCAGACTTCATGGCCAAGGGTAAAACTGCACAACCAGATGCACGATTCATGTAATGGTCTCACAGTTTTATGCTGCAGCTGACCTTTCACTAATCCCTAACAGAACCTGTAAAACCACAAAAAAATACCACGCAGGGGGTAATTTAAGGACCAAAATGTCAAGTCTGTCTGACAGAAGCTCCTCACAGCTTTGTCAAACGATGTGAGGTTCTTCAACAAGTAAAAGGGGTGGCTCTGTGAGCTGGGCTTGTTTTTCAGTCAAACTCAAGTTTATTTGTTGTTTTCAGCTAAAATAAGTTATTCTCAAGTTTATGCTCCCTAAAATACAGCAAACATACGTCAAACGTGAAAAATTTCTCCTTAGAGTTGGTCGTTACATCCGAGTCATGTTAAGTCACGAATAACTAAATAATTTTGAAGCGTTTAGAAATTAATTGCCAATTTCATTGTAAGAGCTGCATTTCAAAATGCATTTTCTACAGTAAACTACAATGAACACAAAACCCAACTGTTTGTATGTCCCCCTCTCGTGTGATTTCTTCAGTTTCTGTAGAAATCTGAAACAATTATTTATAAGAAAAAAGGTTCAATTTAGTCATCTGGACCAGTTTCTTTAAATAAACTGGTACAGATGACACAATTTAACCTTTTTTGTTGTTATCTACTTGGATGATCGAGCTTACAACACACTTATTTACTGTTTTTAACTTTAAGCTGGACTAAAAGGTGGCTTCCATCATAGCTGCTGGTCCAGCCCCCCCCCCCCCCATTCATTCAACCTTTATTTAGACAGGTTAATCCCATTGAGTTTGGGGGACTCATTGACAAGAGAGACCTGATAAATGTGGAGAAATATACTGTTAATATCTAAAAAAGTTAAGTCAGGTCCTCTGGTTGGATAAAAAAATATTAAAAAAATTTGAAACGTTTCATCTTTTATCCAAAAGACTTCGTTAGACTGAGGAGCTGCGATAAACTCAGTCTTATAAATAGCACCTTCTCATACAGGATCAACCAGTTTGCTGCCGACAGCCAAAACTAGCTGTTCACGTGATAAAGGAGGACCATCAGGGCACTAATGACCAGTCATTAGCAGGGGTGGAAGTAACAAATTACAAATACTCACATTACTGTAAATAAGTAGCTTTTAGGGTACTTGTACTTTTATGAGTATTTCTTTCAAGTGTGTAATTTTACTCATACTTGAGTACAATTTAGATATTGTCACTGCCATCAGTTTGTTACTAAAATAAGACGGAGCTTCTGAGCATCTGAGAAACGTGCTTTGAATGTAGCGGTTATATTTATATTTATTATATACAGTAAATCAAATTGAATGCCTTCTATGAAAACACAATAAAAGATCAATCGATTAAAAAGTAATTAACGCCGAGTAGTTTTTGAGAAGAGTACTTTGTACTTTTACTTAAGTACTTTAATAACACCAGCACGTTTACTTGTAATTGAGTACAATTTAAGCAGTATAACAGTACTTGTACTTGAGTAGAAATTTTCTGTACTCTTTCCACCTCTGATGCCTGTTGGTCGCCTGAGGGCTGAGTGATGCAATAACAGCATTGTAAGAGGGGGACAATTGGACACAGAGGCCTCTGCCCCTGTTCATTGATGGACAGTTTAGCTTATTGCAGCTTCTCAGACTGATGAAGTCTTTTGGATAAAAAACGAAACATTTTTTTTAATCGATCCAGAGGACCCGATTTGACTGTTAGATTTTTCTACCTGGATTACTGAGCATGCATCAGGATAGGCTGATAATAATTCTTAGAAGATAAAGTCGTCCCACTGATGCTTTTTAGAGCAAACTATTTTTAAAAGAAACATCTAGCCAGCTCTGACAGTTATTTTATGTTGGAGCTTACAAAGTCTATAAACATCAGCTATCATTTTGATTTAATCCACATTCTGAATCACTTCTGAGCCATCGGTGGTTTCAGGGATGAAAGGTGCACTAAACGTGCACATAACTAAAGAGGCAGAGATTAGTGAAAAGTCAGCAGTTAGTTGAAGAAAACCTCCTCTCTTGTTTTAAATGTGACATCAAACTAACTGGTTCAGATAGAGGCTGTGCAATGTCAACTTTTACTGTAAATGTACTTTTTAAGAACCGACATGTACAACAATGAAGGAAAAAAAAAACATGAGAGGAAATTTTAAAGCAGAGCACCTGTGAGTTTTTTATTTATTTTTTTTTTTCTGTTGCTGAACTGGCAAACTGCTCTGATGGTGACAGCCGGCCAATGTGGCCGATAACGCAACGATGCAGATGAGGAAGCGTTGGATGTTTGGTTTGACTCTAGCAGTGTGTTAATGAGGCAACGAGCACAGTTATCAGGATGTAGTTACTCCCGTGTGGATGCAGGGCCAAGCAGCTACTGTTAGCATTGAGCAGGAAGAAAGGGCTGCTGGAGCTGGAGTTGGAGTTTGTGTTGGAGAAGTCTAAATCAGGCTGAGATCTGAGGGACGGTGTACCTTCACATCCACGTTCAATCTGCCCGCTGCGGAACAGGGCGTCGTTCATGAGGTCCGGCAGACGACCGTTGAGGTCCACGGATGCCAAACAACCCTGGAAGCCCTCCCTGGAAGCCACCAGTTTGGGCAGGTTCCCGTACATGCCTGGACCCAGCCCCGCGATGAACAGATCACCTGAAGGACAGAAAAAGATATGCAGTGCATGAAAATCTCTCCATCAAACACAAAAGTTTTGTTATAGTTGACCTAAAGACTCGATTCTTCTGATATCCATTTTATGATGCACTTTATTTGGTATTGTACTGTGTTTAGTTTGATTAAATACTTGTAAGGTTTCAAAATCAGCGGTTATTTCTCGTCAGCATCTGTGCTTTTTTTTTTTTTTGTTAGTTTTAACACCACAAATATGTTTTTAGCTCTTTCAGGTGTTTTTCTCACCTGTATCTCAGCAATTGTGTCACAATTTCTCCAATTTAACTGACTGCTGTTGTGCACATTCCTCAATAGGTTATGATTATTTTAACTCTCATTCAAGTCACTGCTTATACCATTTATACATATACATACACACATACATACATACATACATATATATACACACATACATACATACATACATATATATACACACATACATATATATATATATATATATACATACATATATATACACACATACATATATATACACACATATATATATACAGGTCCTTCTCAAAAAATTAGCATATTGTGATAAAGGTCATTATTTTCCATAATGTAATGATAAAAATGAAACTTTCATATATTTCAGATTCATTGCACACCAACTGAAATATTTCAGGTCTTTAATTGTTTTAATACTGATGATTGTGGCATACAGCTCATGAAAACCCAAAATGCCTGTCCCAAAAAATTAGCATATTTCATCCCACCAATGAAAGACAAGTGTTTTTAATACAAAAAACGCCAACCTTCAAATAATCATGTTCAGTTATGCACTCAATACTTGGTCGGGAATCCTTTTGCATGAATGACTGCTTCAATGCAGCGTGGCATGGAGACAATCAGCCTGTGGCACTGCTGAGGTGTTATGGAGGCCCAGGATGCTTCGATAGCGGCCTTAAGCTCATCCAGAGTGTTGGGTCTTGCGTCTCTCAACTTTCTCTTCACAATATCCCACAGGTTCTCTATGGGGTTCAGGTCAGGAGAGTTGGCAGGCCAATTGAGCACAGTAATACCATGGTCAGTAAACCATTTACCAGTGGTTTTGGCACTGTGAGCAGGTGCCAGGTCGTGCTGAAAAATGAAATCTTCATCTCCATAAAGCTTTTCAGCAGATGGAAGCATGAAGTGAAGCTAGCTGCATTGACCCTGCGCTTGATAAAACACAGTCGACAAACACCAGCAGATGACATGGCACCCCAGTGACTGTGGAAACTTGACACTGGACCTCAAGCAATGTGAATTCTGTGTCTCCTCTCTTCCTCCAGACTCTGGGACCTTGATTTCCAAAGGAAATGCAAAATTTACTGTAATCAGAGAACATAACTTTGGACCACTCAGCAGCAGTCCCAGGCGAGATGCTTCTGCTGCTGTTTCTGGTTCAAAAGTGGCTTGACCTGGGGAATGCGGCACCTGTAGCCCATTTCCTGCACACGCCTGTGCACGGTGGCTCTGGATGTTTCTACTCCAGACTCAGTCCACTGCTTCCACAGGTCCCCCAAGGGCTGGAATCAGCCCTTCTCCACAATCCTCCTCAGGGTCCGGTCACCTCTTCTCATTGTGCAGCGTTTTCTGCCACACTTTTCCCTTCCCACAGACTTCCCACTGAGGTGCCTTGATACAGCACTCTGAGAACAGCCTATTCGTTCAGCAATTTCTTTCTGTGTCTTACCCTCTTGCTTGAGGGTGTCAATGATGGCCTTCTGGACAGCAGTCAGGTCGACAGTCTTACCCATGATTGCGGTTTTGAGTAATGAACAAGGCTGGGAGTTTTTAAAAGCCTCAGGAATCTTTTGCAGGTGTTTAGATTTACGTCGTTGATTCAGATGGTTAGGTTAATAGCTTGTTTAGAGAACCTTTTCATGGTATGCTAATTTTTTGGGACAGGCATTTTGGGTTTTCATGAGCTGTATGCCATAATCATCAGTATTAAAACAATTAAAGACCTGAAATATTTCAGTTGGTGTGCAATGAATCTGAAAATGAAAGTTTAATTTGTATCATTACATTATGGAAAATAATGACCTTTATCACAATATGCTAATTTTTTGAGAAGGACCTGTATATATATATATACACACATATATATATACACACACAGTGAGGAAAATTTGTATTTGAACAACCTGCGAATTTGCAAGTTCTCCCACTTAGAAATCATGGAGGGGTCTGAAATTTTCATCTTAGGTGCATGTTCACTGTGAGAGACATAATCTAAAAAAATAAATAACTGGAAATCACAATGTAAGATTTTTTAAATAATTTATTTGTGTGTTACTGCTGCAAATAAGTATTTGAACAGCTGCCAATCAGCAACAGTTCTGGACCTCAAAGACCTGTTGGTCCGCCTCTAAAAAGTCCACCTGATGGTGTGTAAGAAATTAATCCATATCAACTAGTTGTGTTGTAAAATCTGCAAACCTTTCATCTATTGTGCCAAAGTAAATGGGAGAATAAAACATGATTAAATCAACATCATTATAATTAGACTAAAGCTTTTCCCATCACTGACTTTTTTTAGACGTCAAAATTCCTTATTTTCTGTTAGTAATCAGGATTTAAAAGAGACAAAAATGGTACAATTTGTCATCAAATGCATAAAATTGTAATTAATTTTAAAAAAAGCTTTTTCTTTAATTAAAAAAAAAATATCAGAGGGGAATAAATCAGTTACTGCAGATCAACTATGACAAGTTTAAATCATAACTTTAATCTTCAAATGCTCACTGAACCCCTCAGCCTTTGTTGTAGTTTGAAATTTTAGCCACTAGATGTCTCTACCTCCTGTATGCTGTACCTTTTACTACATGTTGGCCCATGTGGTAAAAAAAAAAGATAGTTCATTTATATATTCTATCTTAAAAAATAAAAATGAAAGCAGGGCTGCTAGTTAAACAACAACTATAAAGCTCAGTTTACAGTTTTCAACATTCAGCCCATCCAAATCAAAGACTAGGTGCAAAATGAGTTTAAATCATGTGACAGATTTATCCTGGACTTACCTTTCAGGTCCAAGTTCTTGGCCCCATTGATGGTCTGACTTGTGGCCGTAGCATCTACTTTCAGTGTGTGTGTGTTGCTGTTGTCTCTTGTGATGGCCACGTTGTGCCACTGGTTGTCGTTTAGCGCCCTCTCACTTTTGCCCTTGATCAGGTTGGGTCCATTACCAAGATCAAACACATAATGGATGTACCTGCAAAGGACAGTTATGTAAAAAAAATACATTGAAGTTGTCTCAAAACATCAATATACAGTTCTTTTCATCAAACATTCCCTGATCTGCACAAAAGTTTAAAAAGCATCTTTTCAAAATAAAACTCACCCTTTAACCAGCTCCACAGCAATGAAATCGTTGCCATCTCCAGAGTTGAAGATGATGAAGCCGTCGGGGGAGGTGGTCTTGAACTGAAAGAACAGATGCATGGACGTGTAGGCCTGGAGAGTGGCCAGACTCAGATAGCTGCTCTTGGTCTTGAAGGTGACGGGGTCTGCGATAATGGAACGGATCCCGAAGCGAGCGTTCAGCTCGCAGTAATCAATGTCTCCATTCTTGCACAAGTCGATGTAGAGCATGCCGTTAAATCTGAGGAGAGGACAAGAAGCAGCACATTCAAGATGTGGATCTTATGTCCTTAGGGAACTTGTGTGGACTGACCTTTAGAAAAAATTAAGGGCCAAACATTAAACGGGATAAATGTTCCTCTAGACAGGTATAAAATACAATTTATTATTTTTTTCTTTCTTTGTTGGATGAATATGACTTTATATCACAGTTTGCATGTTTGGTCAAACAATGCCCACTTGAAAATAACATTACTCTCTTGGTACATCAGTCACACCGTCTGTACATATCCAACAGATCAAAGGTAGAAGATGCAACATTTGGAGTAAAGATTTCTTTTAATGCATTCCCGTTTTTAATCAAACAATACAATTTTACATAAACTGTTTAGTGATGTCAGTTTGCTACTTTGCTAATTCCTTGTCCAACTACCGTAATTTCCGGTCTATAAGCCACTACTTTTTTGCCCCACACGCTTTGAACCCTGCATCTTATATAATGCAGCAACTATGGATTTTTATTTATTTATTTATTTTTGACAAGCAAATGAGCTTTATGCCACCCAAACATTCAGCCTAGTCACACCCGGGCGTTCACATAGCTCCATAATACACGTCTCTCTTGGGGGGGGGGGGGGGGGGGGCGTCCTCGTCACTCAATTAGACTACCAGTATAAATATAAAATAAAATTTGGCCAATTAAATTACCGAACAGGTCACAGTGGACCAATGAAATGGGGAGGAGAAGAGAGAATGGAGAGGGGGATTCCTCTGCATGCTCAGAGTAACATTTGCTCAAGTTTGCCAGTGGATCCTGACAGTGAAAGGAGGAGGATAGTACAAGCTTGTGCATGAGGAAGATGAAGATAGTGATCAATGACTTCCTGGCAGGATACTGTATCTTTTTTTTAACCAGCTGTGTTATAGGCATTGTTCAGAAAAAAACATTTACTGTACATATTTGTCTATTTTACAGCTTATACACAAGTGCAGCCTATATATTATATATTATATTGTATGCATCCTTTATGATTGTCTATTGTTGGCATTTTGTCTATTGTTGTCCACTGTTGTCATCACTGTTAAAAAAAAAAAAAATAATAATCAGGTCTCTCTTGTAAATGCGTCCCCGAGGCTCAATGGGATTAACCTGTATAAATAAAGGTTGAATGAATGAATATATGTACAAAATTATTATTTAGTAGGCACCTCTTATATTTGAGTGCAATTACTAGTTAGGAATTTATGGTATGTACCCAGCAGTTACCGTCTGGTACCCAGTGGTTGATATTTCCAGCAAATTGAGAAGTGCAAGAACCTGTAGGCTTCAGGTCTCCCAGGCGACTGTATGCACTTCTACATGCAGAGGTGCTAGCATCACATGACCCTGCACAAGTTCAAGCTGTATTTTCTTCCATAGTCAACATCATGCTTGTAATGTGATTATATCTGTAACACACATTTGTAATAAATAAACACTTCTCAGAAACAGTAACTACTTAAAGTGACAATTACTTGCCCCAGGCATGCATTTGTTGGCTCGGCCATTGCAGAATGCTTGCGCCCTGCAATGGATACATATGGTGATCTATTTTATTTTCATTAATACATTTTGTTTTCCTTTGTTGACAGCTGGATAAAGATCCCTACTCTCTCAGCAAAAGGAGAAACAACGTATTAACATATTAACTATCTTACTTGTTGAGCCTAATGCATTATTAAAAGGAGATTTGAATTTTTTTTTTATCCACGTTGCTCTAAAAATTCTGAGCTATACAGAAAACATTTGAGACTACATCCCCAAAGACCCAGACCTAATGAAAATAATAAAACGGGTCCATATCTGCTAATAATAATTTCAGAATTATAGTCCTAGATTAACTCATCAATGATGCCAAGAAGGGTGCTGAAGAGCCCAAAGATGGTAAAATGAAGGCGGTGGCAGGTACAAAGTGGCTTGTGGAAGAAAGTTTCCAAAATGTTTGGATAGGTGGGAACCAAAAAAAAATTTGTATTTAATAGGAGGAAAAAATTACCTGAAGACATTATTTATTTATATTTTTTAGAAGATGTAGGGCCACTTCTGGCCCTGGAGTCGTCTTTTGTTCACAAAGATATGACTTAATTTATTGGAACTCCAGAAACTATTCATCCTAAACTTTTGTTAATAAACATTTCAACTAATGAAATTTAATTTTTTTTCCTCCTACAATATGGGGTTTACTGTTTATATGTTCAAGTTTGTCAAAGAGTTGTTGTCTAATAGATTCGTATTTGTGCTTTTTGCGGTTTTATTTTCTTGTTTTGGTTTTGCGTGCTTGAGACTGGTTGAAACGATTTTAAAATCTGACTTTGGTGCATCAAGATACTAAGTAACCTCCTCTGATAATTGGTTAAAACATATTAGGATACAGATACAATTTAAAGTACCTAAGGCTCTGCAGATGGCCGATGAAGCTGGACGGGATGCTCGAGACGAAGCGGCGCTCGGTCATGATGCCCGTTTCGATGTTGTGGAACTCCAGTCGAGTGTGATCACCCACCATTTGGCCTGTAGACGGGGAGGGTGGAGGGGATGGGTTGAAAAGAAAGACAAAAAACGAAAAGAAAACAGAACACTGTCTGACACTAACACAAAAGGGCTGATTTAAGGAGAAAATTACATTAACAGTATTAGATAAATGCAGACTACGAGTTTCATACGCTCGTTTTGCTGATAATTATTGGCAACACGCCCCTGCATGGTGAAATGATGCTAACAAAGCAACACTAAGAACATTTCCAGGTGAAGTACCTTCTGCTACATCATCGTCAACCGTTAGCTTGTAGGTTTTGCCTCGACGCACCACACGCACTGTATGCCATTCATTATCATTGAGCTTTTGCCCAGCATACAGGGTCTCCGGTCCCTTGCCTGAGAACAATGGTCAGTCACAAAGTTAAGGACAAACTGAGCCTCGAACCAAACCTTTGTTTCTTCTGCTTTTTAAACAAGGATTCATTCAGGAAACAAAGGTTTGGTTCAGTCAGTGAATGACAGAAATTACAAAAAACAGCTATGCTCTTATCAAACACCAGATTTGTGCTGCAATGAGAAAGAAACCTAAAGTAGGAAAAATTGCTTTTACTCATGCAGGCTTAAAGAAATATTTCTCTCTTTTTTTCTTTTTTTTTAAACATATTGAAACCAGACAATTTTGTTTTTACTAGAAGAAAAGCTGATTTTGTATTGAAACAATGTTTACGTAAGTATGAACGTTAGTAAGACCCTCTCAATCGATAGGAGACCTTTTAGGATTTTAGTTGACGTAATATTTTAAGTTTTTCAGTGGTTTTTAAATGTTTTTTTTTATAGTGGTAAATTAAAATAAACAAGTTAATTGTTTAAATAGTCTGGAGAAGAGTTGTAAAACCACAGACCCTAAAAAAAAGATAATTTTAATCAATTTTAATTAATGTTAATACCAATCCTCGATCCCAAATACCTATATATATATATATATATATATATATATATATATATATATTACTTGGGAGATTAAAAAATAAAACATAATAAAAACATAATATTGAGATAAGACAAAATAAATAACACACAAACAAACAATATTGTGATAATGCAATGAAAAGGCGAGAATATATTTGTTTATCAAATATTTGGACCTCCTAGAATTAAAAAAAAATATATTTTTTAGTAAAATCAAAAACCTCAATATTTTGTAAACTTCAGTTAGATGAACAGGTTTATTTTCCATTTGATATTTTTAAATTTATTTTGAGTTACAAAAAAAAAAAAAAAAGAGAAAGATTTCTAAGGGCTTATTATAAGTAAAAGCAATTTTAAGAGCAGCAGACACATTTTACTGAAATAACTCATTGATTCAATTTTCCAACTGGGACCGGCTTCAAACATAAAACTAAATAAACAGCTTACAAAAGAATAATAATTTGAAAAAAACAACTAAAAACCAACTTTGGACTAAGTTAAAAAGTAATAAAAACGTCTATTTAAAAGCTATCAAAACTTGTTTGCTTTATGAAAAAGTTTCTGTTTTCATCTGATTATAAGGAATGAATGATTAATGATTAAATCCATTGCAATTTGAGTTTTAACAACAGAATAAAACCTGCAGATTTTTAAGTTTTCTGTGAATATTTACAGATGCAAAATTGTAACAACTTTTTCAAACTTTTTGCGCAACTGTTCCAGTGCAAAATAACTTTCTGTTTGAGTTTAGGTCAAATTACTATTACAGAATATAGAAGGTAATATATAAAAATTTAATGTCAGATTATGTTTATTTTGAAACATTACATAAAGGAAACCTATTCAGTTGTTGGAAGCATAATTTTATAAATGTATCTCTCCAATTAAGGATTAAACATCTTGAAACTTGTGGATCTTTAAATTAAATTAGCGTGATTTCTTTCATGTTTTTAAGCGATTCTTATATTCATGTGAACTTTTGTTTCAGACACTGTGAAAACATGATGTTTGCAGCTTCTCAGACTGAAGAAGTCCTTTGGATAAAAGACTAAACATTTCAACAAAGATAAATCCATCCAGAGGACCCGACTCAAACTTATTAGATGAAATACTTAATTTTATTTGCTAGTATACGCCCATACTTTTTGTTAGCGTGTAAAAGTGGTGAAAAGAAGAACCAAGATGTTAAGATGATTTCCAGTTTGACACTACAGGTTTCAGAAAATGATTGAACTGATTAAAAACGGAGTTTCTCAATGATAAATGGGGAACTATTTACAGATTTGCTCCTCAACATCATGTCACACCATTTAAGAAGTCTAGAGGAAACCTTAGCTGGACAGCTGGGAGCTGCACTCCTGCATTTATCAACAGCTGATAGAACCACAAGGAGAATAAATGACTTCAAGAAACTTTAATCAACCATTAAAATACAGGTCTACGTCACAAATGTGCAGAAAATAAGCCTTGTGTTATGTTAACTTTGTCCAGAGGCTGTGATATAAGCTAAATGGAAGATTTTGAGGTATTTTGGAAAAGCAGAATCCAGATTTGATCCAAACCTGGTTCTGTGATGGTTTGGGATTGGATCAATGTTCTCTGATGGCAGCGTTAAAGCAGAATCTTTGCAACCTTAATGTCAGAGGATCTTTTAAGTGTTGGAAGATGAATGGAAATATTGTAAACGGAGAAAGGATTTGAAGAAATACTGGATTACGTTGTAGCTTAAAGTGGAAAAAAAAAAAGACTTGTAATAAACTAAATGAATCTGATGATTAAAAAAGGCAAACATCTTGTGTTCTTATTGTATGAAATGCAAAACAAATCAAGTAAATATAAGAATCACTCATTTATTTTGTTCTTTAAGCTTTAAAATTTGATGCGACTTTTATCCCTGTATTAGAGTTTTAATCGATTATTATTAATGTTTCCTAAATGAGCAAATACACGGATATTTGTTTGTGTTGAAACAAATACCTTTACTTTAGATAATACCAAATAAATATGGTGTAGGTCAACAAAACACTAGAAACACAAAATTATTTTCATCTTAACAGTTAAAATCAAAACAAAACATTTTAAAATTAAAGTTATAATACTAGATGTACAACTCCAGTTCAGACAAAGTTGGGATGTTGTGTAAAATGTAAAAAAAAAAAAAAGGCTATGATTTAATGTCTCATAAATCCACATTATATTGACAATAGAACAAAGTAAACATCAAATAATAAAACTAAGAAATTATTCTGGAAAATAAAAGGTCATTTTACATTTTATGGTAACAACACGTTTTCAAAAGTTGGTATAGATTTGTGTTGATCACCGTGACGTTCGTAAACATTTAGGATGCGAGGAGACGGGCTGTCAGATTTTGGAAGAAACGTCTGATGAGGATTTTAGCTTTTCAACCGTCCTTGATCTTTTTTGGTGTTTGTGTTTTTGCAGCTGCGTTAAAACATGCGTTTACTTTTCTGAATCGATGGTGTCTTTCCAGATGTGTACGCTGTCTATGTCAGGGACATGAGTGCACCCCCATACCATCAGAGAGGCAGGCTTTTGAACTGTATACTAATGATGCCCTGGATGGTGCCTCTCCTCTTTATAAAGGATGTGGTGCATTTGGTTCCTCAAAACGATTTCTTTTATTTTTGTTGTTTCATTTTTGTTTTGCCTCAGTCAGTCCATTCATAACATCTAGGCTTGATTACTGCAATTCACTTCTGTTTGGAATCAGTCAGTCCTCCATTGCTCGTCTACAACTGGTCCAAAATGCTGCAGCCCGATTTTTAACTGGTACAGGCTATAGAGAGCACATCACGCCAGTTTTGGCCTCCCTGCACTGGCTACCCATTCACCTTCGGATCCATTTCAAAATTCTCATGTATGTTTTTAAATCACTGAACAGTTCCGCCCCATCCTATCTCACTGATCTTCTGCAGCCATATGTCCCACCGCGCTCTCTGAGGTCAGCAGACCAGATGCTTCTCTCAGTCCCAGAAACCCGTCGTAAGCTCAGAGGTGACAGGGCTTTCTCTGTTGCAGGTCCACGACTGTGGAATGAGTTGCCACTGAGTGTCCGGCAGGCTCCCACACTCTCAGTCTTTAAGTCTCGCTTGAAGACCCACTTCTATTCGCTTGCCTTTAACACGGTGTGATTTGTTTTGGTCCGGTCTGTTCTCTACTCTGTTGGCCATTTTAGTTAGCTCCTGCTGCTATTTGTATCTGTATTTCTATTTTATGTTTTCCTGTCTGCTGTGCATGTTTGTGTTCTTTTGTACAGCACTTTGGTTGGCCTTGTTGCTGTTTTAAGTGCTATATAAATAAATTGGTATGGTATTTTAAATGAGCTTTGATCAAGACAAAGCACTGCCTTTCTGAATGGTGTTCACACATTATTTCTTCTTTGTCTGATAGAGCTTTAAGCAGCATTTATGGCCATCACAGTGGGCTGTGTTTACGTGCATTCCATAGTGAACTAAATATGGGTTTATGAGATTTGAAAATCATTGCATTATGTTTTATATTTTACATTTTACACATCTCAACTTGTCCAGGATTTGCACATCACATTAAAGGGACCAGAATAGTTCAAGAGTTCATAGTTAAATCATAGTGGCTGATGATTTAGTTGGAGTGAAATTTTCAAACACATCCTCCACTTTATTGGATTAAAAGAAGGAGGGAGGCAGTTCTGTTGGATGTTTTCAGAAAAACAAGAACAATCAACACAGAGAGCAAAATGAAACTTGAGTGTTAACTTACTGGAGTTACAGTTTATCCTGATACAGTCTAGATGGGGAAGAATAAATGACAGATGAAATTGCATCCTTCAAGGTTACAGCTGCAGACATCCAGAAACAAAAAGTCCACCCTTCCGGGGACGTACACATGCAGGAGGGCGGCCATTTTTATTTTACTGCTCTTTAGCGTTAACTATACACCAGATTATTGTGAACATATGGTGAAAAGAAGGAAAGTTTTCTTTTCTGTTTAAGCTTGAATTTTTCAGCACCTGTATTTATTGTCAAATGGCCACTGAGGTACCAGCTACGAGGCTTTTCCAACCCAACATTAATCTCTAGTCAAAAGTATTCACAAAAAGGCTGCAGGCTTCTGTTTTGGAGCCACATTGCTTTGTAAAGTAGGAGGAAATTACAGCTTGATTAGCTTTTCAAGCAGAGAATAGAGTGAAATGATCCGATCTGAGGTCTGAGCAGCTGCAGCGAGGGTCGGTCACCACGTGGCTGATGGTTTCATGTGTCGTCAACCGCAACAGAAAAGTGGGAGCAAACAGCCGCGATCCAATCAGCACCAGCACCGTGCAGAGGCACAGGGTCCCCAACCCTCAGGTCTGGAGAACTACACTGCTCCTACGTTTGGCACTAAGCTGCATCAAAGGCTGAATCTAGGAACATCTATCCTTTGACACAGAGCTTGCTGGAAACTACAAAGATGAACGCAAGCTATTATGAGCTGTGACCAATCAGATCAACTGAGATCTAAGGTGCTGAATGCTTTTATAAATGAATATAACCTGTAAGAGGATCTAAATGTGGTTATAAATTATTAAATGCCTTTTTAAAACTACTTTGGCTTTTATAAGTGCTCAACTTCCTGCATATGTGACTGAAGTCACCTGTTTTAATTAGTTACAGAAGCATGGTGGGTGTTTGGCAGCGTGTGGGGTCGCAGCCAGCTGCAGGTTTTGCTGGGCTCTGTTCTCGGGCTGTTCGCCTGACGGGCCGCAGGCTTAAGGCCTTTGAAGGGGTGAATACCATCTTTTGACAAAGCATGATGGGAAAATGGAGGTGACAGGTAAACAAAAAGAACGAGACACTGAGACAGCACAGTTCCATGAAAGATACTGTTTTTAACAAAGGAAAAAATTGCAGAGTAACAGGTGAGAAGTGACTTCATGTCAGAATTCATAATGATGTAAAGTAAAAATACAAGTTTCTTCTATCCTTAAAAAAAATAACACTTTAAAAAAATATTCTGATTATTCTAATGCAATTATCTCAATTCCTTTTGTAAAGATATAATTTTCTGTTTCAAAACGGATGAATATTTTCACTACTCCAATTAAACAGTTCAATCTCATGCAATTAAAGACTAAAATATAATCCACAATATGTTCTAATATAGGTAAAATATGGGCTTATAGCGATGAGGAACTGATAAAAAAGATGCTCAAAGACAGAACGAAGAAAAGCCAAGAACTGGAGACATTACTGCTGAATGGTAAATGCTCTCAGGGTGGGGATGGAGATGGGGAGGAGGATGAGAGGAGGAGGTGGTGGTGGTGTGGGGAGACATACGATACCTAGGTTGACTGTGAGTTTGACGCGGCTCCCGTCCAACTCAAGCCGCAGAGTGTCGGCCGAGTCCCTGGAGGTGGTGGCCATGAGGAGGCCGTAGGCCCGCTGGGAGCGGAAGCGCAGGGAGACGTCCTCGGCCTCCGTGTGCATGATGTTGGGCATCACCACCTTCATGTACATGCTGCCGTCGTAGGAGAGGATGGAGGCCTCTGCGGGTGAGAGTCAGGAGAGAGTTAGCAGTATCAGCTGGAGTCGCTGGTCAACAACTTGATTACATTTATGACATTTTGTTGCCACTGCACAACAATGTTCAGTCAGGTCATCTGGATGTCTTTTTTTTTTTGTGCCGAGACGTTTCACCCTCAGCAGTCTGAGGAAACACCAAACAAAAGTGATCATCTCCCAACAGCTTACTCTAAAGTGGGAAAAAAACTGTTATGTTGGTGCTTTAAAATCTTTACAGCAAAAAAATAAATAAAAATAAAAGATCTGGAGGTTACTTTAACGTCTTTATTTCTTAAAAAACGTTTCGGATTTATAAAAACTACGCCCTCAACATGTCTGCAGTTTTTGCTCTCTTCCAACCAGCTTTCATCCTGAGCTGGACTGCAGGGCGGCTTTTGTTTTCCTGCCCTCAGTTGGAATCAATCTGATGTGATTATTTCTTCTGTCAAAATAATTTAATATGATAAATGATCCAATAATGCACGTGTCCTCCAAATGTCCTTTCCTTCGGTTTTACTGCATGATGACGGTGGTGCCATGTCCAATGACCACATGGGGGAGACACAGCCCAGCTGTCTGCTCAGACGCTCCACGTAAAAATGGAGTAAAGATTACAGATTAAAACAACGCACATATATGTGTGTCTCTAATCTGCAGCCTGAAGTATTAAAGCATAAACCTCTATAAGATGTGACTTATTTCAAGTGTTCCTGGGACATCGTGCTCTTTGGTCTCAAAAATGTATTTTTTATTTTTGTTTTACAGCATTTCGTGAAGACGTCTTAAATTCATTCATTTAACAGATCAACCGATATTTGTCTTGTCCTTGATTCCTCTGTATTTATGTGCACACAAAATAAATCTAGGTCGAGTTTAAATGCGAGTTATTCTATCAAGATGAGGTAAGAGGAGCACTGTAATAAAAAAATTATAGTTTCATTAGTTTTAAAGGGACATTCTGTCTAAAAGTTATTCTCCACACTCCCTGCTCCATAACTGATGTCACAGCTGGTAAGGCATTAACTAGTGCTAACTAGCTGACGGAACATCTCCTGCAAATTGACTAAATTATATTTTCAAGTCCTCATTGTGGCTCTGATGACATCAACTGTGGCATGTCGTGAACAATTGCTGCAGATTTTGATAAAATGATTGATACACATAATATCTGCCTTTGCAGCATAAAGTTCACATTAAACTAGTTTGCTTCAAATTAACATTTTGCATCTCTTTTACGTAAAACTGCTCAGCTCTAAGAAGCATGAAACAATGTGCACGTGGAATAAACGTGGAACCTGTTGAACACTGCATCATGACTCAAGTTCCACTCCTGGCGTGGAAAAGAGTAAAAAATCTGTGCCTCATAATTACACGTTTTAAAGTTGTTGTTTTTTTGCTTTTTACCCTTGTGATGTGTAAAATGCCGGAGCTGCATGTATCTTTTGACTCACTTTATATGCACAGATCTATATAAATGCAAATTTGCTCCTGCGTTTGTCTCTGCAGATCACCTGGTGCTCCTCACACGCGTTATTACAGCGCCATCACTGGACTTCATCATTGCTACGTGTCTGAACTGATTCTGACAAAGAGCAAAAACATCAAACATGTCCATGGAAGAGCTTATAAATGTACAGATTTTACATTTGACAGCTGGTTTTCAGCTCATTATTAGTTAACGTTTTGCCAACAAAACTAGTTCTGCCCACTGGTCGGCAGACAGATGTGTTTTAGTATAAACCTGGCTGTCTTTGCTCCATTGCAGTGCAAAAGCAGAAAGACCACTGGTTTATTTTTTTCAGTTTCACTTCAACAGAACCTGACAATCAGCAGGTTAAAGCAGCTTTTGGTTTAGAACTTTATTAGTGACTGAATGGAAATGAGGCTTAGGCTTAGAATGTGAGTTATTCCATCTGATCAGTCTGAAGTTTTGGTAAAACCCTGAGAATTTTTTGAATTTATTGGAAGCCTGACGTCTGATTGCACATTGAGGTAAAATTGGGTTGTTCCTACAGTTATTGATAGGATTATATGGGAGTTCTGCAGCTACACCTGTAGATCATTGACTTGAGCATGAGCAGCATAAAAGGCTGCAGAGGACATTCAGCCAGCGCTGGAGCATTACCTCAACGGTCTTGTTCTAGCCTTTTACTCGTGACTAAAACCAAAGTATTAATGATTTGTTTTTCTCTCTGTGCCTCCAGTGAGTTTCCCTTGATGTCCTCCTGTTTCCTGAATCCTCCTCTGTGTCTCATCAGCTGCTTCCACGTCTTCCTGCCACTTGCCTAACACCTGCCATTGTCCAGACGTACACCTCCTTCGCCTGGAACCATTTGAGTCAGCCCTCCCCACGTCTGACCCTGACCTCCATCATAAGGAAAATCAGCAATAACATTATCACCCTCAACTACAAGATTCCTAATCACCTCTTTGCTCTTCAGAGTTCCAGTCTCCTCCCCATCACATTATTTGTCACTTGTAAAACACTGCAATTCATTAAGTCTTGGTCTCTGTTCCTTTTGGTCCTTATATCTGAGGATAGCTGCAATCGTTACAGATTAATGTTTTCTTTTTTTTTTGTTCAGATTCAACACAAACAATAAGTCCAATGAAATGGAAACCTGCAAAAGCATCCCCGATCCTTGTAAAAGAACATCTGGTCTCTTGAATATGTTTTAAAAAAGGAGCAAATAATGTACATCTAAAACTATATTAGCATCAAGAACATAAACATTGAAGGTCGATTCTCATGTTAAACCAGACACACAAGTCAAACTGAAGGGTTTTTTATATATATAACAAAATCTGGTCTTGTGTTTTCTCTTTTTTATCTTTTGATCTTAATTTGATGAGAATATTAAGACGTTTTTCTGAATATTTCAGAGCAATAATTAAAAAAAAAATCTATATGAACTATGAATTTCCAACAACTTATAAGTTGCATAACCAAAAGGTGTTTCAGCATGCATTTATGTCGAATAAATTCCGTTATTGACACTAACAGAGACTCCATCTTTGAACGGGTGATGCTTTGTTTAGCAGTCTGTCCTATTTCTCTGCTGCGGTGCTTTATTTCACCGGACAAACTGGCTGAAGCCGAAGCCAAAAACTCCTGGCAGGTAACACCGTGAGAACAACAATCAGTGGAAAATGTGGACGGCTTCCAAGATAAAGGCTTGTACACGGCGCACATACGTCCACCACCTCAGGAGGAATTATTTCCAGGAGCTTCGTCTAAAACTGGGTCTTTCAGAAATTAGACTTTACTCTAAACTCAAACATTATCTTTAATAAGAGATTTGTGTCCCTCGCTACACATGAAATTCACAACACACACTTATTTAGATCTTATAATCATTTCCTGCTTAAAGCATGAGCTAAAAAAGTACAATTAATTTATTCAAAATATAGTTTTATATGCAAAAGACATTCCCTGATAACACCGGTATTAAATTCTTCCAACTCCATGGACAATAATCAAAGGTGAAACATAAACCTCATATCAGGCTGACCCGCTGTGACTTTTCTTTTCAGAAGTAAAAATGAGATTCAGGAGTATTATTATTATTCAGCAGTCCATTGAATGAGGGGGAAAAAAAAGAGAAACACTTGTATAAATGGAGAGAAATGAGAAGAGTTTGATATGCAGGAGGAAGTGGAAGCAATTTGGGAGGTTGGGGATGAGAAATGAGTTTTCAGCTCTGATCATTTTCTAAAACACTGACTGGACACATGGAGAAAGCTGGTCAGGAAAGTGTATGTGTGTGTGTGTGTGTGTGTGTGTGTGTGTGTGTGTGGGGGGGGGGGGGGTGTCTCTAATCAGCAGGAAGCAGTTTATGCATGAGGGAGCTGGCAGAAGGAGTGCCAAATATACCCAAGTTCATTCGTAAACACGGTGGTGGCAGGATCATAATTTGGCTTTACTGCAGCAGATATATCGATCCATCCACTATCTTTTACCAGCCTTTTTCTTTTTGGGTTGCGGGGGGTCACTGGTGCCCATATCCAGCTATCACCGTGCAAGAGGCGGGGGACACCCTGGACAGATCTCAGTTCATCACAGGGACAGAGACAAACGAGAAACAACCATTCACTCGCTCACTCGGAGAAAACCCACGCATGCACGGAGAGAACATGTAAACTCCACCCAAAAATGTCCCGGGCTAGGACTTGACCCTGTGACCTTCTCGCCGAGAGGCAACATCTCTACCAACTGCGCCACCGTGCCACCTGCAGCTGATATAACATATAGGAGAACCTGAACTGCAGAAAGAGATTTAAACAGAATGCGTTTAAATGTGTCTTTTCTAAATCTTTTTTTTTTTGTTAATCAGACCAATTCAATTTTATCCATTTTAGTCACAGCTTTAATGATTATTTTATTTGTTCATTTTTAGAGCGTTTTGTGAATTTCATTTTATAATCCACACATCGACGGGATGACGTTCTTTTATTTCACTATGCATGTGACAAAGACAAATAAATTGGACTCATTGATTGAAAAACGTTAAAGTTATAGAAGCAAATTCTATTTTTCCTGTACATGCCTCTTGTTCACACCATAAACTTTCTTTGTAAAAGATTTATGAAAACTAGATTACAAAAAGCATTTTATATCTTAGTGCAGCTGCATTGTTTAAAAACACTGTTCAAATTTCAACCTTTTGATGTTTGAAAAGAAACTTTTTTTTAGAACAGATCTAGGAACAATGTGATCTATGTTGTGAATTTCTATAAAGCCAGATCAACTTAAAGAGCACATTACTCCAGTTCTGGCCTCCCTTCACTGGCTCCTGGTTCACTTTCAAATTCATTTTAAAATCCTTCTGTATGTTTTTACATCTCTGAACAGTTCTGCCCCTCCTATCTCACGGATCTGCTGCAGCCATATGCAGCGCTATCCGAGGTCAGCAGATCAGATGCTTTTATTGGCTCCAGGCACTCGTTTTAAGCTCAGAGGTGACGGGGCCTTCTCTGTTGCAGCTCCAAGACTGTGGAATGACTCACTGCATGTCAGACAGGCTCCATGTCTCACTGTTTTTAAGTCTCGCTTAAAAACTCACTTTTATTCCCTGGCTTTTGACAGTGTGTGAGTTGATTTTAATGTCTGTATTCTATAATGTTCGCCATTTACTTCTTATCTATATCTTTTTGGCTCTGTGTATTTTATCCTGTGTTCTTTGCTTGTTTTGTTTTTGCTGTACAGCACTTTTATTGGCCTTGTTGTCATTTAAAGAGCTTTATAAATTAAGTGGTATTGTAAGGTAAAGTAATCCTACTGTGAATTTTACTTAAAAAAAAATTGTTTAACAGAAGATGGACCAGCCACTTCAGTGAACTCAAACTTTTCGTGATGCATTGTGATTCCAATCTGATAAAACCTCCCTTACTAAACATGTGGAGGTCAGCAACAGCAACTTTATCTTTCCGAGAATAACTTCATTGGATGCTTGTTCTCCGTCCTATAAGCTCGAACAAACAGCTCAATATCGAAGTTTTCTCCTGGATGTTACTTTGGCTTTGTGGAGACATTGCTTCGAGATGCAGGATGCTGGCAAAGCTGCACAGAAGATACGAGAGACTCGCACAGGAAATAAAATCATGTATGTCAGCTGTAAACGGATTAGAAATTAATTTACATCTCTCTCAAGACAACGTTTGCAGGCGGCTCAGCAGCAGAGTCATTCGGCGGTGAGATGATGAAGAGGCAGAAGGTTGTTGCGATGCCGAACATCTTTTACTCAGGTGAAACTCGCTGTAATCCATGTGCTTACAGCATCAGTAAGAGGGTTTTAGAAGGAGCAGTATTGAATCCTTCAGTTGTAAGTTTAAACCACTGAGAAAAACCATTCCTTATACTGGGTGATACGTCAGTCTGACTTTCATTAACAAGATTCTTTTTTTATGTTGTTTCATTGATGTCTAACAATTTGTTACAAAGGGATTGCCAGGTTGAAACAAAGAAACGTTTGTTAGGAGGCTGGGAAGGTTTGACAGCACAAAAACTTTTAATAGATCCAACTTACCCTATTTTTCGAACTATAAGGCACACTTAAAACGCTTTATTTTCTCAGAAGCCGACAGTGAGTCTTATAATTCGGTGCACTTTATGTATTAATCCTGATAGTGCTTACTGACCTCAAATCAATTTTATGTGGTGCACAGCACTCAAAAGGCTGTCAAATAGAACTTGTTTCGCTTAATGCGCCTTATAATCCATTGCGCCTTAAGTATGAAAACAGACCTGTTCATTGATATTGCGCCTAATAAACCGGTGTGCCTTATAATCCAAAAAATATGCTATGTCTAAAATGGTTCAGACAGCCTGTCATAATAACAAATTTTGCCGAGCGATTAATTGTCTCAGAAATTATTGCGATAAACGATAATATTGTTTGAAACTTAATTGTCAAATTTTAGTAGAATTGTTGATTTGTTTTGCATGTAGTACATTTTTTGACCACCTGATGGCAGTAAACAATTGTTTGAACCAAAGGATGGATAGTTGAGCAGGTGTCTCTTTGAAAAAATGGGAAAAATCAGTAAACAAGTTCTCAGCTTCTTTTTGCAAATAAAAACGACTTTTTATACAAAGGCACGAGTTTCAACCGCGGCTTTTTGGAGTTTTGACAAGAGGGAAGTTTTTTCCTGATGTTGGCCTGTTAGCTTAGACTGTAGCTTAGCTTCCCAGCTTAGCTGCTTTTAACCATCCAAAAACGCAATTTTAGACGGTTAGATTTTAAAGAGAAAAGAGAAAGGGAAGGGCCAGTGAAGAGCACCGGAGTCGAGACGTGTCTTCAGAGACACGAAGAAACGATAAAGCTGGTAAATGAAAATGAGGTATATAATTTTCATTCATCATGATTAATTGATTTATTGTTTATCGCGACAGTCCCCATGTTTAAACTTTACATCAATGTTTGGGTGACAAACCCTTTAATGCCACAGTTTTAGACTAAGATCATCTTATGCAAAGAAATGAAGTTGTAGCAGTTTTGGTCAAACCTTTAAATTAACATTTTGTGTAATCTGATGTCATGTTTGTCATTCCCTGCAGTGCATGCAATTCTCAACTACTACCAGATCAAATTTTAGCTCAGTATCTGTAAATTTGAGTTATAGCCAGTCTTGGATGGGTTAATTTCAATTAGCTGTGTTGGTCATCTTGAATTGGATTGACTTAAAATGTGGAAGAGTTGTAGATGATTATTATCTGAAGCTTTCATTAAAATCAGCCCAGTGATTCATGAGATATTTTGCTAACAGATGGAATTAACTCGAAAGGTCAAAAATGTTTCATAATTTACAAGTGCTCAAAATTTATATTAGAAATCATTCTCAGCTACTTCCATATCAACATTTATGTCAAAATCTTTAAAATATTTTGAGTTTCAGCCTTTTTTGTGTTTTAAGCTCAGCTAGTTGTGGTGGCCAACTTCCCTGCGAGTTGTTTTATCACTCGGCTTCTTTCTGACTGCTTCAGTCTTTGAGTCCTTACACTCTGCTGGTTCTGCCTTGGAGATAATATCCATTTTATAATCCATTCTAAATTGCACCAAAACATGCACATCCAAATACACACATTTACCTCTTTCACAGGTGCGTGACCAGTACCCAGTACCAGTGCAGTCACAGATGAATCGATTCCAGCCTTCTTTGCAGATGCCACGGTTTTTGCACGGGTAGCTCTCGCACTGCTTCCCCTGTTGTTTGTTGCACGAGGGTTTGATGCCTGCGCCATTTTGTGCCTCAGCAATCTGACGGATGTCCTTGCTCCGGCCATCGATGAAAAGGTCTCGGATGCAGCCAACATAGCCATAGTTGAGCATTGCTGTCCAGAGTTCGGTTGGTAAGATGAGGTTGGAGCGGTCGACTGGAAGGCCTCCCAAATACATATCCCCTTCCAAGTCCAGGATTTCGCTCTCGCCGCTGGCTGTGAACGGGGTCCGTCTGCTGTTTACCGAGATGGTACCTGAGGCAGAAAGGGAAAGGAAAGAGGTCATGCCCTGCACAGCACCTCTGGCTTTACAATACAAGAACAAAGGTCTATGGGTGTTGCATGAACTCCACTTGCCATGTGCACCTGTATCAAGTCAAATGAAGGATTTTAGGATCAACAGTGTCTCAGCTGTTCCTAACAGAAGTATCTAACAGGGTTGACAATGTCATAAAAAGTGGGTTAAAGCAAGGAGATATGGTGCTAAACCCTCAAAGCACCTTAAGGGACCAAACATGTACATTCTGCTTATTTGCCATTTTTGATTCTCAATATATTGATCTGTTAAAGACAATTGTATGAAACTTGGCCTAAAACTTGTATAAAAATTTAAAAAAAGAAAAATCAAAAACATATCTGCCATTAGGTCTGAAGTTGTTGAAGAGATTTGATGCAGTGGATGTAAAACAATATACATACACATGACATTTTTATTAGACTTTTATGAGCGAGACCATTTTGGGCCCAAAGGTATAAAGTGCATAGTCATTTTAAAGGTGCCTGAAGGGTTAAAACTTTCAAAAACAGTTTATTTCAACAAGACTTTATTCTGAAAACCTATGCCTGACTTCCTACCGGCATCTCCATAAAGGACACTTCATACAAGCTCCATACAGTCTCTCTTACTGTCTGGAATTTGGCTTGTATTTTTACTACTTTTTCCAATGGAACAATGTTTTTTTTTTATTTTTTATCCCAGTTTACACTCATTGCCAATGTGAAGCCATATCTCCCTGTGAAAGACCCTGAAAAAGTGGTCTTTTATTACCTTTCACTAGGACACACTCCGTACGTTGGTTTAGATGCATCTTGATGCAACTTTTTGGTTGAACTGTAAATCACTTTGGTCAACGCCTGTTGTTTTAAATGTGCAATAAAATGAAAATGACATGACCTGACCTGAGAAGAGTAAGAAAGGCCTTTCATCATATTTAACTTTATCACACACTTGGTCACACTTAAACACAGACCATAGCACTCATGATGACTCCTTCTCCAACATCTGTCCTAATCTGAAGCTGCAATGGAATGAAGGTGTGGTGACCAGCCACCTGAAGTTCAGATTATTGATTTATAATATATTTAATCCAATTTGTTTTAACTAAAAAACTGGACTTCTATCCTGTAGCTGAAGTAATTTTGCGTCCCATACGGAAGGCTTTATCAATTCAAAAACAAATATTTAATATCCTTAGCTGATCAATTATACAAGTTTTTCCTCTAAGTAAAAAAAGAAAGTAGCTTCACTGACCTGATCTTCCATCTCTCTGGATGTCCACATGGTACCAGACCCCATCATTTACTTTTGTCTGGGTGGCTTTCACCTTTATCGTCCCTGAGCCCATATCCAGCAGGAGGTACAGGCTGCCATCCAAGAGCTCCACTGCAAAGAAATCCACCTGGCCAAGAGAAATGTCTTCATTTTTTATCTAAAACAGACATATCAATGTGTTTTAAGAGTCATCTGTAAATATTTATTTTTACATAGATGCTGAAACATTCATCTAAAACAGGTGTCCAATTATGGTCTTGAGGGCCACGATCCTGCATGTTTTAGATCAGTGGTGTCCAATATTGGTCCTCGTGGGCCACCTTCCTGCATGTTTTAGATCAGGGTGTCCAATCATGGTCCTCGTGGGCCACCTTCCTGCATGGTTTAGATCAGGGGTGTCCAATCTTGATCCCCGAGTTGCACTATTCTATGTTTTACTTGTTTCTCTGCTCAACAACACTTGATTCAGTGGTTGAATTACCTCTTCGTGTTCTGCAGTTGACTGCTTATCACCTATTGAATCAAGTCAGATGTGTTGGAGCTGAGAAACTTAAAACACGGGTGTCCAATCCTAGTCTTCAGGGCCACCATCCTGCATGTTTTATAGAACTTGAAGAGGTAATTTAACTATAGATTCAAATTTGTTGAAGCTATAAGTAAAGTAAAACATGCAGGATAGAGGCCTTCGAGGACCAAGACCAGACATAATTGATGTTAGTGAACTCCTTGTTCCTTTTTGTTTGCTGATATTAGGATGACATCACTTAATCAATGCAGAGGGGAAATGTTCTGAGCTGACCTTGGTGTTTTTCTGACTCCGGGCTGCATCTTTGCGCTCCTGTAGTTTGCCGTGAGTGAAGAGGATGAGTCCATTGGGCTCGGTCGTTAGGAAATCAAAGGAGATGGATCCCATCCGCTTGGTGTTCCACTTGGGGAGACTGATGTAGGCCTCTGGGGTCTCAAAGGAAATCGGGTCCAGCGTGGCCACGTTTTCACACTTGTATGCAACTTCGCCTTGAATCTTCATCTTCGGGTCCAGAATTCGAGCCATCCGGGACAACTCCAGACGGATGTCGTTGTTCTTATACACCACCTGGGATGAGACAGTGATGGTTTTGGTTATTCTTCTATTTTAAGTAAAGATGTAAAACTCAAACAATACGCGCGGCACATTAAAACAACGTCACTGTCATTTACATTTTAACAATAAAACAAAGAAACATAAAGAGGATTATCAGCGTTTTCCAGATGAATATGGTGCCTATCTGTGAAAATGAATTTCCATTCACGCTCTTATTAATTAACAGCTCGTCTATTCAGACTGAGGCGACTGTATGAGGATGGACACAGTGTCAATTAAAATGACAATATGTGGTTTAACCCCCTCCCAAATTACTCAAGTTTATAACAATAAAACCCAGTGTTCTCATATTTATTTTGTACCGTTTCTGTAAAAGTAAACATGCAGTTAAAACTCCTCGATATCAATTCAGAATATAGAAGAAAATATCTAATCTTATAATATTTTGCTTTTTTGTTACAAAAAGGCCACATTTTTAATCATCATAGCAGGACTTTTATTTACTGAGATTGTAAATCAAACATTCAGGAGCTGTGGTGAGAACCAAGCAGGTCAGGAACCAGAAATGGGTTCAAGCTGAAGTAACTGAATGGGTTTTTAAAATATAGTGGGAGGTTAATATATGAAAATGAGATCTTTAATAAGAACTCTTAAATGTTGTGTGGTAAAAATCTGTTAGTTCAGTTCAGGTTATTATTCTGAAGAAGACATCAAAGTTCATGCTCAATAATCCAGGTAAAGAAATCCAACAATGTTCAGTCAGGTCATCTGGACAGTTCCTTTTTTTTTTTTTTGTTGAGAGACGTTACCCCCTCCATCCGAAGGGCTTCATTAATCTGAAAAGTAACGTACAAACCATTTTCCCCATTAAGCAGTACAACTGGTTGGTGGACCATCCACTCTAGGTGTGGGGAAAACAGTTGGTTTGAGACTTCTCAGACTGATGAAGTCCTGCGGATGGAGGGCGAAATGTCTTAAAAAAGGAACTCTCCAGATGACCTGACTGAACATTGTTGGATTCTGAAGAAGAAGAGAAATAAAAAACACTCAAGTGCTGGTCTGCATAAAAAACAAAAAAAACATTCATATTGAAGATTGGGCTGCAGAAAAAATAAACTACAAGTTTCAAAGGTAATTAATTCAAAACTGTTTGACTCCAAAATAGGTTTTAAGTTGATTTAATCAATTTTATTGTCTGAGTTGGCTTTTCATTTATCTTTCTTTGTTTTTGCAATCAAACTACTTCTGCAGGTTTTGTGCTATTTTAGCCCTTTTTGTATCAACATGTTAGAAGATGGGAGCTATGGTTTATTTCCATTTACAATTTTCAAAACAATAAAAACAATCTCAGCCACTCCCTTCGTCAGGGGTCACCACAGCGATTGAACTCACAGGAAAAAGTTGGCAATGTTTCACACTGGATGTCATTCCTGATGCAACCTGGGCTCAAACCGGCAACCTTGGGATTACAAGTGTGTAGCACTGACCACCACGCTAATACAACCATTTTCATATTATTGAAAATATTTACATTTGTTTTTATTTACAAATATTTTCCCCATATATCAATCTTTTCACTTTCTTAATAAACATTGTTTTTGTTTACCTACCTGCTTCAGAATTAGTGTTTCATTTTTTTCTTTAAATGGTAATTTCATCTACTGTTCTGCTACTTTTTTGCCACTAATTAGCTTTTAGCTTGTAGCCAAGTCTTTGCTACATGGAGATTTTAGCCTTTTTTTTTCTTTTCTTTTTTTTTATCAATTTTGTTTTTCAGCACACAGCAGTCCCACTGTGTTGTAGTTTGGTTTACTTCCTTTGCTACACAACAATTAAAAAGTTCAGTTTATGAGAAAACAGTGAAATAAAAGAAAAACAGGTGAATTTTTAAAGAAGTTAAATCAATGAAAGTCTGAGTGTTTGAAAATCAAAGATGCTCAGTTTGACAACAAACGCGCAGGAATTACAGAATGGATTTAAAAATGGTTCACTATGAAAAATGGAAAGAACATTTAGATTTCTCCCTCTTCAAGCAAAATTTCATGAATCTAAGATGTGCATCAAGAATATTCCTCAACAGCTATAGAACCATGTGGATTAGGGATTACTTCAGAAAACTTTTGCCAATCTCTACAATATACATTAACATTTGCAAAAGTTAAGCATTGTGTAAAGCCAAAAAGAGAAAAAGTCATAATAACCCCTTTAACCAGTTCAAACCTCAGCATCTGTTCACACTGAATGTTTTCTCATTTGAAATAGTGTACCATAATAAGATACTGTTACTGCTGATTTCAGGTCTGTAAACTCTAAACTTTAAGAAAAGTGCAGCATATTCCCATCACACAGGCAGTTTCTCTGTTATTCCTCAGTGCCTCAATGTTTAACTAAAGATTCAAACAAACTAAAGTCTGATAAGACTGCGCCGACGGCCTCTAATTGATTTATTATGAAGGGCAGTCGTCTTTTCCTCTCCCTCCCTCAGTTCTCCCTCCTCGCCTCTGACAGTCTTCTTATGATGATGCATCACCTCTGATGAGAACGTACTTACACTGAGTTTCACTCGATGATTATTTAAAGGTAGGCTCGGATTTAAACCCACTTCACACCGTCTCCCTGCTGCTGGAATAATTCTCTCTAAAATGATTAATATGATTCAGACTGACAGAGCAGCTCCCTTCACTTTGACAGAACAAACTCTCCAAATACTTCATCAGGCTGGTAAAAACAAGGGTTGTGTCTCACACACCTATTTGTTTTTAAAGAAATAAGATTGTCATCCCACCTGACTCTTATTGATATTGCTGCCATCTGATATAAATGATGACATTGTTTAGAGTCACATGTCCAAATATTGGTCTTTTTTTTTTTTTACAAAACAATTTTTTTAATCTTATTGTGTGAATGTTTATGAAGCATTCACACTTTTGTGATCCATTTTTCTTCTGCACGTTTTTCAGCGCGATTCTCGTCCCTCACTTTTTAAGCTATTTCAACAGATCATATCAAAATGTTCAGCTCGTTCAGAAGGGTGCTATGACTTTTGGTATCGGTGTAATTTTAGCTTTTTGTAGCATTTAGCCTTTTCTGCAATTTTTTCCTCTCAGAAAATGAATTGAGCTCATTTTACATCCTTCAGATCTTTAGATTTGTTTAAAACCTCTTTCTGCTCCTTTCACATTCTGTTCCAGTTTGGCTTCTTTCAGCTTCCTTGTGCAATTTTAACCATGTTTTTTTAGCTACTTTCAACTAATTTCAGCTGTTTTCTGCTCCTTTCAGGTTCTTTCTGCCAAATACAACATGTTTGTGCTTCATGTAACTTCTTTCTGCTAATTTCAGTTATTGTGCTCCTTTCAGCTTCTTTCTGCTAGTTTCAGTTATTTTTCAGCTACTATTTAGCTGTTTTTATGCTAATTTAAGCTTTTTCAGCTAATTCCACATCATTTCAACTTTCAGACTAATTCAGAAAAAATGTGCCCTCTCCACCTCCTGGTTATTTAAGCATCTTTCTGCTTTTTTAGCTACTTTTCAGCAGGTTTTTTGGCCAATTTAAGCTTTTTCCCCCCCAGATAATTTCAAATTTTTATTCTAATTTCTGCTTTTTTCAGTCAAAATGGGCAAACTATTCTTTCTGATTTCTCATGTTAATTTCAGCTTGTTCTATGCATTTTCAGCCATCTATAGATTTTTTAGCTAATTTCTATTTTTCTGATAAATTGTAGTTTTTCTTGATAATTTCTGCTACGTTCAGCCTAATTAACTTCTTTCTGCAAATTTCTGCCTATTATGCTCCTTTCACCTGTTTTTCAGCTAGTTTTTTTTTTGCTATTTCAGCTACTATTTAGCCGTTTTGTGCAAATATTAACTTTTTCAGCTATTTCCACATTTTTTTGCTAATTTCAGCTCTTTCCACTTCTTTCTCAGAGTTAAGCTTCTTTCTGCCTTTACAGCTACTTTTTAGATATTTTGTGCAAATTTGAGCTTTTTTTAGCTGATTTCCTTAATTTTGTGCTCATTTCTGCTTATTTAAAGCTAAATCAGCAAATATGTGTCCTTTCTGCTTTCTTCTGCTATTCCAGCTACATTTAAGCATGTTTTGAAGCTATTTTCAGCTGTTTTTCAGCAAGTTCTTCTCCAATAAACATTCACAAAGCATTTTCGCAGGATATGCAATTTCTCTTGTTACTGAATGATTTTAAATGGTGCTCAATCCAACAAAATATTTTGTTAAAAGTGAAGCCCAGTTACGTCTGATCTGCCACTCACATCTTTTTCCTGAAGCTGGTTTCAAACAGACAGTATCCCATTTGAGTGAACGATGGCAAACAAATGATTGAGAAGCAGAATCTCTTATCACAGCTGCCTAAATGTTGTCGGTAACAAAGAAAGATGGAGTCACGGAGGGGGATGTGTGTGTAAATTGAAATCTGCTCAAGTGGAAAATTGAAGGCCTTTTTTTTCCTCCTCTAATTCTCGGGGCAGAGAAACACCCTGTGACTGTCTGTGTTTGGGCTTCCATAGAACAAACACCCCCCTCTCCATTTGTTTCTTTCTGCTTTATATGAATCTCCCTGCTCCTGGTCCCGGTTCTGTCGCAGACTGCGGCGACGCCTGAGCGGGTAGATTGAGGAGCCTGGCTGGGATTATCAATAATCCAGCAGCAGATTTGACAGTAAATCAGCTCATCCCTCTAGGTGCTCCGGGAGTGAACAGAAAATGGTCTTTTCCTCTTCACTCCCTCTTTCTTTGTGTTCTTTCCTCCTGCTTTTGTCTCACTTCTTCTTTCCTTGCTACTGTCGATATAGTGCTTGTTCAAACAGTTCATACAAGCTGCTCTAACTGAGCACAAAATTCTTCAGCTATTTTAAAAATCAGGATTAGGAAAACAGACAGAAGAAGTGGGATTATCAGGCTAGATGTGGCTGAAATTAGAGCGATGGTGGCACGGTGATAAAACACACCGAGACAAGGCTGGAAACGTTGAGCCGATGATGCAACGTCAAGTTCTGCAG